GGTTTGCTAAGTATCTGTAACATGCATGCTAAGATTTGGTCTTGGTGATTGATGAACTGGTGAAGGGTAATGTTAGTTGATTATTTTTTTTTTGATTGTTGATTCCTGGGTTAATTTATATTGGAGTTGGAAGATAAGCTGAATGTCCTGCAAAACAAGCTAGTAAAAGTATTGTAGGAAGCTATCTTGCAGAGACATGGACATGGCAAGACATGTAACTGAGAGAAAAATCCTAAGATATACGGCAAAAAATCACCTTTTATATGAATAAAATAATGCATATGATACTCTCAAACTTAAATAGGCAAGAAAGGAACACGGATGATCCAACAAGTGGTCAGTTATTTGCAAAATCTAAAACCAATTTCATGAATGCTTAAGAAAGTTGATAAATCTTTTACGTAAATGGTAAATTCTGAAAAGCTATGATAAAAATCTTAACATTTAAAGGGAAATTGAGGGATATAGGGACGGTTTATTTAGAGGCAAAAAGTAATTTTTTGGCAGCCAACCAAAAAAACAAGCTGAAGATCCTGATACGACAATTTGGAAGTTCGTTTGTTGCCAGCCGACATTGAATTTCAGATAGGATAATAACCTCAAAACATTTAAAGGGAAATTAAAGGGACGGTTTATTTAGAGGCAAAAAGTAATTTTTGGCGGAAAACCAAGAAAACAATCTGAAGATCCCAATACGACAATCTGGAAGTTTTTTTGTTGCCATCCGGCATTGAAGGTGTTACCAGAGCTGACTCATATAAGTTGAAAATTATGTATTTTCTTCACAAATTTTGTAATACATGCACCAAAAAGTTTTCACCAACACATGTTGAGCTACAGACCCAAAAATTTGTTTAGTAAAGTTACATGCGAAAAGTATAGATTGTAAACAATAGAAATTTTAACTTTATGGAGGGGTGTAAATAGGAAACATAACAGTGAGAGGAATATAAATGGAAAATTAGATTTAGAATAGTCAAGAAAAAATATATATGAGGGAATTTAGAGTGTTATGTGTAAAATTATGCCCCTTCTATAATTGAAATTTTCAATGAATCGTGTATAATATTGTAGAATTTGTATGTAAGCACCATGCACGCCATGCAATTGGTAGTAAAGCGGGAGAGACATAAATTTATCATATTGTCCGATGTCCTCCTGCTTTTAATGTGCATGACGGGCAATAAGATTTGGTGTTACTCAGTCTACAACTTATAGTTACATAAGGTAGTATGTAGAAGAAAAGAAGTGGCGGAATGTGTGCAAGTGAGACAATTTTACCTCTGTTGATGTGTTGATGAGATGAGACAGATATTACAAGAAGGATATACACATAAAAAAGTAAAATTCGAGAATATTCAAGTATAGATGAAATACGCAGATGTGAGGGCTCTCTAATAGTCTAATCATAGAAAGTTTTTATTCATTTGATGAACCACAAGTACTATTGGATCATTCAGTAATGTTCCTCGTAATTTTCTCCCTAAAACGATGGCATCTGTATTAATGGTGGATTTAGCTCCAACAGCCAGTGAAAAGGTGGCAGTGTGACTTATACTACCTGTTCTGCCTCTTACTCTTAAGTGAGCCTGCTATAGATAGAAAAGAAAGTATTCTTAAAGGTAGATGTAAATGAATAAGTTATAAGTTCAAACATGTGGATGGCCAGACCAGTAGAGAAAACATTGTGGGGTGTAGAAACATAAACAACGATGTTGTCAAATATAAATCGTTAGATGGTTTGGCCCGTTGAAGCTAGTACTTTGGGAACATTATTCCTAGTTCCATGGTTCACATAACCTCATACTTTTTTGCTAGGATATAATAAAATGCGCGCAGAGAGACGTAAGTATGTTAGGAAAACTTTGTAGGGGTTAAGACGAAAAGGGGGAAAATCATAGGTCATGTGTACTAAAGCATGATTTTTCTGAGTTTAAAATTTATATGAATTTGATTCCTGAAAGTGATATTCGTGAACGCTATAATTTGATGATGAATTCAACAAATTAGGGATACTTAGTGTGCCCCTATAGGGTTAACATGTTACAATATTTAGTCCGTGTATCTTGAAGGTAGGGTAATTTTTTTGGGGCATTATTGCATTATTATTATTTTTCCATAATTGTTGTCTATTATGTGAAAATCACTTACTAGAGTTGAGATCAAAATATTAAAAAAAAATTACTTACCTTTTCTGCTTGTATTTATGGTGCTTTTCTTATATTCTGTGGCGGCAGATGGTGCTGGTGGTAAAGGAACGTGGGGCAAACTTCTTGATACCGATTCAAATTCACCCTGTGATCGAAAGGATCCAAATTATGACAGTGGCGAGGTATGAGGCAGTCTCGCATTTTCATCCCTTTCACTCTTTTATGCAAGGATGATCTGCCTACTTATTTGGGAAAACATTTGAAATTTGTAACAGAAGGCAAAATACGAGAACTCAGAATATCATATATATATTACTAAAAAGTATATGTATAATTGATATAATTTAATAAATGCATGTAAAATCAGACATAAAAGGAAGGACTAATAATGAAAAAAAATACCATTCTGGAATGCAATTGAAGCACTTGCCTCTGTGATTTATCTCTAGTTCAATTGGATTTGTTACTGTTTTTCCATATAATTGTTAATCATGCTACTATGTGGTATACTGTATCTAGAGACACCTAAATTTCCCTTCATGTGTAATAGTTTACATTTTGACTGTTCATGTGCTGTGGAATTATTTGGTAGCATGAATAATTTGTTTTATTTTTTTATTAATTTAATACTAAACAAAGTCTGACACAAGCTTTTTAACATTCTTTATACTAGGAACCTTATGACTTAGTTGGCACTGCTGTGCCTGCCTCTGTCGATGAGTATAAAAGGTTCATAGTGCCTATCATTGAGGAATATTTCAGCACTGGTGATGTGGACTTTGCAGCTTCTGATCTCAGAGATCTTGGTTCCAATGAGTACCATCACTACTTCGTTAAAAAACTCATTTCAGCTGCAATGGATAGGCATGACAAAGAGAAAGAAATGGCATCAGTTCTGCTTTCTGCTCTTTATGCCGATGTGATAAGCTCAGATCAGATCAGTCGTGGGTTTCTCATTCTCCTGGAATCCGCTGATGATTTGGCAGTCGATATACTAAATGCAGTTGACATCTTGGCTCTCTTCGTTGCACGAGCAGTTGTTGATGACATATTGCCACCCGCCTTCCTTAAAATAGCTAAGGGGTCACTTGCTGAGTCCTCGAAAGGACTTGAAATAATACAAACGGCCGAAAAGACTTATCTATCTGCTCCTCACCATGCTGAGCTAGTGGAACGACGATGGGGTGGAAGCACACATATCACTGTTGAAGAAATGAAGAAAAAGATTGCAGATCTGTTGAGGGAATATGTTGAAAGTGGAGATACAGTGGAGGCCTGTAGGTGTATCAGAGAATTAGGCGTCTCATTTTTCCATCACGAAGTTGTGAAACGAGCTCTAGTTCTTGCCATGGAGATCCGAACATCGAAACCCTTAATACTAAAGCTCTTGAAGGGTGCTTCTGATGAAGGCCTGATCAGTTCTAGCCAAATGACAAAGGGTTTCTCCCGGCTTTCTGATAGTCTCGATGATCTCTCTCTTGATATTCCCTCGGCAAAATCTTTGTTTGAATCGTTGGTGACCAAAGCTATATCTGAAGGATGGCTCGATTCTTCCTTTCTCAATCCCTCAGTTGGAGATGGAGACTTAAAAGACAACGAAGAATACGAGAAGGTGAAGCGGTACAAAGAAGAAGCCGTGACAATAATTCATGAGTACTTTCTTTCTGACGACATACCCGAGCTCATCCATAACCTCGAAGAACTTGCTTCTCCACAGTACAACTCTCTTTTCCTCAAAAAACTTATAACACTAGCTATGGACCGGAAGAACAGAGAGAAGGAAATGGCATCGGTTCTATTATCAGCGCTGACAATGGAGACCTTCTCTACTGATGATATTGTGAATGGATTCATATTGCTACTAGAATCAGCAGAAGACACTGCCTTAGACATCAAAGATGCCTCAGATGAGTTGGCTTTATTTTTAGCAAGAGCAGTGATTGATGATGTCATAGCTCCATTGAATTTAGGGGAAATCACAAGTAAACTACCACCAAATTGTTGCGGTAGCAAAACTGTTCGAATGGCAAGAACCCTAGTTTCAGCTCGACACGCAGGAGAGAGGCTTCTTAGATGCTGGGGAGGTGGGAGTGGATGGGCTGTCGATGATGCAAAGGACAAGATAACAAAGCTTCTAGAAGAGTACGAGTGCGGCGGAGATTTAGGCGAGGCTTGTCAATGCATTCGAGACCTTGGAATGCCATTTTTCAACCATGAAGTTGTGAAGAAAGCTTTGGTGATGGCGATGGAGAAGAAGAGCGACGAGAGGATTCTGGAGCTGCTTCAGCAGTGTTTTGGCGAGGGGTTGATCACCATCAACCAGATGACTAAGGGGTTCTCCAGGGTTAAGGATGGGATCGATGATTTGGCTCTCGACATCCCTGATGCCAAGGAGAAGTTTCAGAGTTATGTAGAGGAGTATGGTAAGAAAAAGGGTTGGTTATTACCCTCATTTTTGGAAGGTTAGCCAACCGTCGACGCAGTCACAAGTTAGAAGGTAAGCCAACCGTTGACGCAAGCGCAAGTTAGAAAGAAGCAGAAGTAGTTTGTGCAGTAGAAATGGGAGGAAGAAAGCAGTATGGGTTGCTTTCTTAATTGGAGATCAACATATGCAGATATTTTTTCTTTTTCTTTTTTCCCCGTTCCTTCGTTTACCATAATGCTCTTTTACTTTGGTGTAGTATAAGGGAAAAAATATGACTGTAATATTGTAGATAACTGGACTATTACCTGGACTCTCAGTTTAATAGAGGTTGCAGTGTGAATATTTGCGAGTTTGGCTGCAGTTTTTTTGGCTTCATTTGCGTGGAGTTATGCTATCTTATGTGCACAAATATTTTGTTGTGTTCGACTTCTGCGCATGTAGCAGAGCTAGAACAAACTCAGCTTTTGCTGATTTTATATGGCATCACTGTATTTCTTTCAGGTCATACATCATGGTACCTAATGGCATGTATGCATGTATCTAATGGCATTTGAATCATGAGCCCTGACATATTACAAAGAGCCACGTGTGACATGGTGGCTATCTAATAATATCTCTAATATTGGCCACTGTTTATATTTTGATGGCATGCATATTGGATTTGAGTTTGCTTTTTCTATCCATCTATGGATCAAATATCTCAATAAGTAGCATGTTTTGATTTGTCTTGATGTTAATTACTAGCCAATAAAAAAAACCATTCCTTGAAACACTAGTCAATAAAAAAAACCAAGTCTTTGGCCGCATAAAACTGCCCGAAACACTCTTTTCGTGAATTTACGTCCTCTCATCCTCACCTTTTATTAACTTCTTTTAGTATAAAAAGTAAATAATGTTAACCATTAGTTATTTAATGGATGATAGAACATCCCAACGGCTATAACCGCCAAAAACTATCTTATAAAACCCGCCCTTTTTCTCACCAGCTCCTCCATCCTCCTAAATCCTAACTCTAACCCTAATCGAGAAAATGGCCCTCCCTCGTTTCTCGATCCTCGCCCTCCTCCTCCTCTTCGCTGTCGCCGCCGTCTTTGCTGACAACAAAGCAGCCCCCCGCCGGCAGCAGAGCTGCCGGCGTGCATGACAACCGTTCGCGCATCCAAGTCGCCGGGGAATGGCGCATAAGCGCTAGCCCGAACGGCCGCGTCGAACGCGATCGAACAGACTACGACGTGAAAGCAGTGCGCTGCACTCGGGAGCCTCGGGCCAAGGCCGAAGCACTACGGGCTCGCGACCCGGACTGCGTCGAGCGCCGGGCCGCCCTGGGGGTTCAAGTGGCCGCCTCCGTCTCGCGGTTCGCTGCTGGCAGCTGCTGGTGCTGGATATATGTTCTTTTAAATTAATAAAAATTTGATGATTTGTAATGATAATAATTTGTTAAGGGCGCGGCTTTAATTGTGTTGTTACGGTACTTATAGCTGCTATAATTCTATAAATATATTTATATTGTATTTGGCATGATTATATGTAAATTGTGTATTGTGATTGATCGTTTATCTAAGACAATATGTATTTTGGGAGGATCGTTCTCGTCTTTTGATTGGATCTCTCGATCTTCCATTACATGTTATCCTTTTTTTTTTGATGGAAAGATTATGCAATTAAATAGCTGAAAAATGAAGAAATATGATACTGGGGGCAATAATGAAAAGAAATTAATTTGGTACTTGTGTGTGTTGAAGCGAGAGAGAAAAAAATTGCTTGATTTCCTTCCCCCCCTCTGTGTTGTAGTTAATAGAAGGTAGAAGGTAGAGCGTGATTTGACAAGTCCACATCTAAATTCATGGATATATTGTTGGATATATAAATTCAATCAGGATGGTTAATTTCATATGCAATTTTTTTTTCAACGTTGTTTATGATACTATTCACCAAATAATTGGTAAATGAAATATATTTCCAAATGTTGATATTATAATACACATTAGTGTATTCCATACTCAGAATTGAGAAGCACCGGCAATTGAGGATGGATCGGGAAAGACCACAACCACGCTGATGATGGTTCACGATAGCTTTTCAAAAAAGCAAAACCCATAATATTCATGATAGTTTCGTAAAATTATTCACGAATAACGAACAAAAAAATGTACAAAAAGTCATCTAGAAAATATCATATAGGGAAAAAGAATAAACTGACACCTCCCTATCACGCAGTTGGTATATACATGATGAAACATGAGTTCTTTGTTGATTTTTCCTCCTCTTAATTATGAACCCGCTTGATGCCACATATACGACTCTGTCCTTCTTCTCCATATGATATCTCCAGTGTCCTCAAGAGGCTTTTCTTTTCCTAAAATAAAAAGAAAAAGAAAGAGAAAAAAGAGAAAGGGAAAAAAAAAAGAAAGAAGCGCCTGTCAACTTCCTCACTCCTCCTGGAGAGACTAGATCTACTCTAAGGCCGGCAGACGTTCTTGTCTACAGTTGGAGCGGGGGGAAGCATGCTTGTGTTGATCTTACAGGGGTGTCTCCGTTGGTGGGGTTTGGTAATGGAGAGTTCAAGGTTGGGCATGCAGCGAATAGAGCGGCAGAGGCCAAGGTGGGCAAACATGATCAAGCTTGCAAGGACAACCACCACAGCTTCATCCCGTTCGCTTTCGACACGTTTGGTTTCCTTGCAGCTGATGCGGTGGAGTTCCTCAGGAGGGTTTAGAAATTCGCGAATAAGAATGTGGCGACATCAGGGTCCGCTGAGTATGTGTTTCGTAGGTTAGGTTTTGCAATTCAGAAAGGATTAGCGGCGCAACTTGTTGCCCGCTTGTCATCATCACATGTGTAATATTTTTATATTAGTTTTTGGAAAAAAATAAAAAAGAAAAAGAAAAAAGAAAATAAAAGACAACAAAAAGAAAGAAAAGAAACATGTTGACTTTGTGTATGAGAATTGGGCCTTGATGAGGCCCATTCACTTCTAATGACTTGAGCAGTTCAAATCCAGCCCTAAAGCCCTTTACTTTCTCTCTTTCTACTTTCTCTCTCCTCTCTCTCTCCTCTCTCTCTCTCTGCTCAAAATCAATGGCGGCCTCATTCCTCCAAAAACTCCTCAAAAAACCCTTGCCATCTCCTCCACTGCGAATCCTCACGTCCCTCTACAGAACCCAACTCCCAATTCCCCCAACTTCTCCAGTTCTCCACCAAAACCCAGGCCCTAGCCCAAACCCTAACCCTAATTCTAGTTTGACCTTTTACCCATCTTTCCCCCATTGCTTCAGTTTGGACCCGATTTCAGTAAATGGGCTTCTCCGGTCCGACGGACAGATGGGCTCTGGGGATGATGATGGGCCTGCGGTGTGGGCTGACAGCGTGAAGAAGAAGAGGAAGAAGAAGATGAACAAGCACAAGCTGAAGAAGCTCAGGAAGCGTCTCAGGCGCAAAGCTTGAGCCCCAAGTTGGTATATTTAGCTGTTGTTTTTGGGTTATACCAATGTTACATTAAACGCTGGGCGCTTCTGGGCGTCGGACTTGGCGCCCAGCGCTTAGACGCCTAGACGGGCGCCTAAGCGGTTTCTGGGCGGTTTTTTTCTTCTGGGCGGTTTTTCTTTTTTTAATTGTGATACTTGAACAGAATCTCAAAACAAGAAATATATAAACTCTCACATGTGTAATTTCCCTTACTGTTAACTTATTTTTGTAGGTCAAAAACTGTACTTTCATTCGTTATTGCTGCAACTTCAAAAACTATAACTAATTATTGTTCTATTTTGTAGGTCAAAGACTGTAACTTCATTCGTTATTGCTGCAAATCCAAATGTAGGGAGCATGAATATTATAGTTTCAGCACTCAACTCAATACAGATACACAATTATTGTATGTACAGTTGTAAGCTTTGAGCAAAAATTCACATAAGCAGCAACAATCTCGAAATGGTCAATTCATACACGAAAAAGAAAGAATTGGTGAGTAAGTACAAATCCAAAAGATGTCTACATATACCACCATAAGTTAACTGAAGAATTCGAGGACGCCACAATACCCAATTAAGCAACCAACTCAACAAATGTTCATAAAAAATAAAAAAAACAACGTTCAAATTCCATCATTTCAACAGAGAACAGAGCAACCCATAAAAGCCCAAGATAAATTTTGACCGATACCCAGTTGCTAAAATGGGTTTTAGACACAAAAATCAAAAGAACCTCAAAAATTATTATATGATTCCAATCAGAGGACTAAACAAACGACGTAAGCGAAGTGGGGTTCTTCGAATTTCTCATCATCTCGAGAGCTGAAAACTGGAAAAGGGCATCTCAGCCACCAAAGAATCGATCAAAAGGAGAGAGGAGAACTGGAGAAGAGCCAAAAATAGCAAGTATAGAGCTCAAATCGAGATGGGTCTTCAGTTTACTTACCTTTTACAAGAGCGAGGAAATGATTTTGTAGTGCTTCTGTTTTCAGCACGAGGTTGAGGACGTCGGGACGAGCTCGAAAGTCCAGCACGAGGTTGAAGGCGAGCTCGAAAGTCCAGCACGAGATCGAACTTGGGTTTTGGCGGAGATCGAAGACGAAGCTCCAGCACGAGACCGAACTTGGGTTGAGATCGAAGACGAAGCTCCAGCACGAGATTGAAGATGAGCTCGAAAGTCCAGCACGAGGTTGAAGAAGAGCTCGAAACGCCAGCGGCCAGCACGAGATCGAAGCGACGAAGACGATTTTTGATGCGCTCGTAGCGCCTAATCGCGACCGCCCAGGACATTTTTGCACGCTCTGGGCACCGCCTCCGCTTAGGCGGGCGCCTAGGCGGCCGCCCAGAGCGTGTTTTACAACACTGGGTTATACGATTGTTTGCTTATCATATTGATCTTTATGAGGTTGCATTGATACATGTAAAGTTTTGGTCTTTGTTGATCGTGCCCAATGGTTTTAGCGGAGTTTGGTGTTTGACAGTAGTCTATCAGTCTGCCCATAAGCTAGATCCTTAAAAGAAGGAAGATTTTGAGCCGAACGTAAACCTCGCATAGAAAATGTAGGTGCATTTTACTTATATCCTGCACGGGTGAATATCGACCAAATCTTTGTGTGATCAGATGAAGCAGTAGTAGTTATTTGAATTAATTTTTTTGTGGAGCCTTTGCAACATCATCATTCAATCCGCATCGGACCCTATTCTCCAAGGGAAAACCCTAAGTTGTGATGCACTAGAATCAGAGTTTAACTTTGAAGCTGCTCTTGTAATGTTGGTCCAGTAGATCTTTGTTTGTGTAATCAGTGTCATATTAGAAGCCAATGAGTTTGGTTTTCTGATGTTACTTGAATGAAGTTGGAATTTTGTGCAAAGGGCGTGGTAATATTTAAACCC